CCTACAACGAGGAGCAGAAAGGACAGTTAATTGACATAAGTCAAGTGTTGTCTAATCCAACGTGCCCAGAAGAAAGCATTGACCTTCAATATGAGTGAACGCGTCCCATATACTTGGACCTTTCTTTCCCTCATTCCAGCCTCCTTCAATCTACAAATTAGCAAAACTTAGGAAGCATGTTGTTTCATATGATCTCGATATTAAGCATACGCAACCGATTTCAAAGTTTCGAACCACATTCAAAGCCAGAATCCGTTTCATATGATTCTCGATGTTAAGCGTATGCAACCAATTTCAAAGTTTCAAAGCACATTCAAAGCCAGAATCTTTCTTCCTTCTTTCGGTGAAACAAATGTAAACGCAAGCCAGAAGTATATGTTATGTTATAAGCAAAAACGTGAGGTGAAAAACAAGCTCACAGACAAAACTGGACGATCAATCTCGATCTAAGCGAAAGGAAGATCCACCAGACGGAGAAAAGCAGAAACAGAAAGGGAGAGAGAGATTCGAAGGGAGACAGACCTGGTAAGCGGAAGTGGCGACGCCAAAGGTGAAGCCGGAGGGGAAATCCGACCGGCAGATTTCCCGCGAGACGGAGAGATCAGATCCTTGAACCATCTGCGGCATTTGTGCCCTTCTTGTTGTTCCTCTTGGAACTCTTCGGTTACCGATTCGAAGAAAGGGTTTAATCAAATCTGCGCGAAATTTGTTTGCAGGAACAGTCACAGAGATCAGAGACGGGGAGAGGTGGTGTAATATCATCAGTTTATTATTGCCGAGAAATACCCATTGTCATGTATGTATGTATATATATATATATATATATTATAATGAGATTAGTTTTGTTTTTTAATCAGAAATTATAAATTTATTTATTTATTTAAAAGATGAGGTGAGACCACACCAAACACTGTCACGTGGATTCACGGATGTTTAACGCATGGTTTTTTTATTTTAATTTTTGGTTAGGAAAACGACATAAACATTGATATTCTGCTGCACCAATATATATAATTTTTTTTCTAATAACAGATCATGCGATCTCTATGTAAACAACATTTGTCACAAGAAGGACCACCGCCGGAGCAATCTAACAAAATATTTTTAACCTACATTTGTTACAAAACTGTAACATCGTTCTGAATGGGCGACAGATCAAGATTTTAATTGTGAGAAAAAAAAATCCATGTTATAATTTCACACACATATACATATATATATATATATAGTTATTTAATATAAATAGAGAATCTCATAAAAATAAATGGACTTTATAAAATGTGCTAAAAAATTAAAAATCTATAGATTTTTAAGTTGATAAATAAATATATAAAATATTAAAATGTACCAAAATAACACATCAACCCTTAAAATCGAAAATAATACGATACCGTTAATATTCGTATAAAAAATTGATTTCGATAAATATTTATCGATCGTTAAGATTTTTGTACCAATTTTTTTTTAATTTCAAGAATTGAATCTTTTTTTACATATTTTAATACATTTTTTATTATTATTATTATTTTAAGATACAAATTATATTCATATACATATTCTATTTTAGCTTAAATCAATATTTAAAGTTAAATGATAACGTCTTTTTAACATAAATAATAATATTTCATATATCTTTTTTTTTTTGATAATCCGGAAGTTCACCGGGCTTTTGACCCAACTACATCTTCCAGAGGATCGGGGCAGCCCATGTGAAAACCCTTCCCCAATCAGGAATCGAACCGCCAATCTCTGAGTACTTTTGCACTCATCTGCTGACTACTCACCCACAAGCTATTGGGTAATATTTCATATATCTTACATACATATATATATATATAATATTTGTAACTTTGAGTATTTATATTTTTATACATGGTCATTTTCCTAACTAAAGAAATTAGGTGCATAGTATTAATGGACCGTCGTTCCCCTCGACCCCGCTCGTCTTATTATCGTCACCTTCTCTTGGTTATTTGCTTTGTAATTTTTTTTTTATAATTTTCATAATATCTTTAGCCCAACTATATCTTGAGTCTATATATATATTTTTCGAACATTTCTTTGAGCCAATGTCGTGTGATGTGATGAGCTTCTTAATGTTTTCCTTTTATGCACGTATTAATGTAACTTATTAACCCTAATTAAGCCCACTCCAATATATTCGTTATGATTTGGATGCATGACATGTTATGTCGGTCTCTATTATCACATAATTTATGCATCATTTTGCATTATCCAGATTTAATTTTATTCTTTTCATAGAAATCCAAAAAAAATTAATTGATGGTCAACGCCCAGTAATCAATATATTCCTCTTCTTTTTTTTTGTGAAATATCATTAGTTATCACTCAGAAAAATGTTTTAGGATTTTTGTTTATAATTAATTTAACTATATGGTTAAAGGTGTTGTTGAAGATTATATTATTTCTTTCTAGCAAAAGTAATTATGGTACTGTTTCATGAGATAAAATGAGAAAACTCAAAACAATAATTTTGAAAATGTTTTTTTTTTAGCTTGAATGCGAATTGTTCTAAATCTTTAATTATGAACCGACATGTTTAAATTTGATAATTTAGATTAATCTTTGCCCCTAAATCACCGCATCAATTATTGCTACAACCTAATATTATTATAATTTATAATTATTGACATATATAGTCAAACTTGGTGGCTTTTAATCTCTATTTATAAAATTAATTAACATAAACCTGATCAAACATTCCACAAAAGAAGAGAAATGGCAACGAAAACATCATTTATTACAGCTCTCCTCCTATCTTGGTTCCTGCTTTTTATCTGTCTCTTCACTCAGTTCAGATCCGTCGAGGCTACACCCCGTAAATTAGGTCAGTATATATATATAGATAGAGTCGTATATCCAAGATGTCAAGTAATATTCAGAAAAATATCACTATCTTTAAAAAAAAAATAACGAAATTTTATACTATCAATATATCGAATTATACATCACTTTCGTTTAACGGCCGGCAACTTTCATAGTTTGTAGTTCTAGTTTGTTCATTTTTTAAATCTTTTTCCATATTTGTGTTAACGTATACGATATATGATATACGGGTTTTGACCGTATATGTTTCTTAGGTTTCAGGCAACGTACTCCGGCGGTTCGCTCGTATCTTCCTCCTCCTCCTCCTCAAATCCGGGCTCGACCGTCCACGTCACCCAAAGGCCCTGGTCCATAGACGTATGTAGTGATGGAGAATAATATACGACCATAAGTTATAATATATATATATATATATATATATATATATGCAAAATCGCAAAATATTATATTTATTTTGTAAGAGCGGTCCAATAGGTTGTTGTTCCAGTCTTATATATGTATGTATACGGACTCGGTTATATATAGAAAAAAGATCTGGACTTGTGGTTTTATATGTGATATATAGAATTTGCTTAATTTCCTTGATATTTTTCATTTTTATTTTCCCATCAACGTGTAACCAATGGGATCCATTATTTTCGAACTTGCATGAATAGGGTCCATATATACAGCTCCATGCAATAGAAAACCATATTCATATGATGAAAATAATACACACAAAAAAACATTACTCAATGATTTCGACTTGTTAGCGAGCATCTCATTCATGGACCGATCTAGGTTGATAATTAATATAGAAATTTTATATCTTTACTATCACTAAAAACAATCTTTAATATATATTAATCATAAAATCAAACTAATATTTTTATTTTATTTTTTCATCATATTATTAATATCTCAATCATGCAAACTAAAATCACGATAGCAAATCCAAACATACCATAAATATGGTGCCTTACATATCCAACTCGATAACGTATCATTCTCAACCCGAAAGTGTGTATTCTATATCCAAATGAGAATAAGGATTTATAAAAAGGTGTTACAAAGGATTCTCGATATTTTTATTATGATAACTAGGATAATTTTATAGAATATTTGTTACAACTCTCGACTGAATCTTTCAATTTCTTTCCCATGTTTCTCGACACACATTTTCTCGATTTCGGATGAAGTCAACGTTTGCACCGCGAATGTCCATCCATAAACATCACTTTTTGTGAACATCATCCCACCCACAACGTCGAGTGCTAGCGGGAGACCTCGGCATCTTCTCGCGATTTCTTCTGCTAGTTTAGGAATGTCTGGATGCATGTTTAAGTTTTTCGTCGTGACAGTCTTTCGGAAAAACTCCCATGCATCGTCGGGGGACAAACATCCGACCTCCATGTCGGCATCGGCCCCCATGAGCCTGCACACATCCTTGGAACGAGTGGCAAACACTACTTTGCATCTGTTTTCCTTTGTGGGGGACGGGATTCCGATCTCCGTTAAATCCACCTTGCTCTCCAAGTCATCCAACACCAGAACGAATCTCTTGTTCTCTAGGGCGTTGTAAATATAATCCGCCCTCTTACTGGTTTCCATGTTTTGTTTCCATTCGACGTCAAACCTGTCGAAGCCTAGCCTCCATCCGATAGATCGTTGAATGCTCAGGGTCGGATTGCCTTGTTGTACAGGGGCCACAATGACAATGTCAAATTGGTCTGCGACTTTGTACAACTTTTTGTTGTTCATATTATTGAGAATGACGGTCTTGCCAACTCCACCCATGCCGTATAGACCGAAGATTCTAACATGGTCCTTCATAAGAAGTTCCCATGCCCTTTCAAGCACGTCCACTTGACCAGCGATTGGGCGTGCGTTTTCCAGCATGCCCTTCGGCGGGG